TATCGGTGAAGCCCGTCCTAGTCGGGCATTTGTTGTGACGGCTCTCGGCCGCAAGCCACGCCATGTGTGCCGGCGCGGACGACCTAGCCGACCTTCTGAGCGAGCTGAATCGACTCGCTGCCGAGATCGAGCGCGTCGGTGGCGACGACCAGTGGGACCCGGCGCATCCCGGTACGTGGTCGGACGGCGTCTGCTCAGCGGCGGATGCTCTGCCGCCAACCGTCCCCTCCGTGCCACTCCGCGGCGGGCTGTGTGCGGACTGTGCTCAGTGTCCGCCGAGTCTCGCTCGGGTCACTGGAGAGGGGTGCTTGTGAGGCAGGAGAGCGTGATCCACGTGTGATGTTCTGCTGAGTGGTATCCTGGCGTTCTCTGGCTCACAAGCCGCCGTCATGTGGTCGTATGGTCGGATGCCTGGCAGGCTAACGGCTCCAGGTCAAACCTAGGATTGACCCGGCTCATTAACAACCAGGGGCCAACCGACACTCCGGCTCTCCGCTGACGAATGACATGCACAAACCAAGAACTTGAGGACCGTTCAGGTGATGGTGCAGCCATCTACCGGCAGTTAGACGAACCGGTTTGGAGGTGACCATGGTCCTTATAAAGCTGGCGTCACTCGGCAAGACGAGCTCTCTTCTCACTAAAATTTGCCGGACCCCGCGGGCGCACAGCTGTGACCCCGAGGTCAGAGAGAATCCGGCCAACTGCCAGCGGCGCTTCCCCTGGCAACACCACCACCCGCGCCTCGCGCCAACCGCCCTCCATCGATTGACCGTGTGACGTCAAACGGTGACGTCAAAGCCTCCGATGGCTCTCTAGGCGGCGGGCGTCAACTGTGACGTCACAATGCAGATGTGACGTCACATCGACGGTGCCGTAGGAGGCGGGGCCTGCGGGCCGTCTTGGCTGCCGGCGGCGGGCCGTTAGTCTGTTGCGCGTGGCCCGGAGAGGTGCGAGGGAGACCGCCCGGTGCACGTCTAGCCCGCCCACCGCCCAGCTGCCCGGCCCCCCAGCAGTGGGCCTGCAAGCGCCCAGGGCGCATTCACCAGGTGAGGGGCGCGGGGGTCGCATCATCGCCTTCCCCTCAATCCAGACAGTGCCCTTAGGCCTGGTGCTCCAGTTTGTTCACAGTTTGGTGTGCAATCGAAAGGCAAGTAACTGACTTTCAGCTATGGGCTACAGCATGCAGTGTAGCTGATGCGTTGCATACATAGCGGTAGATAATAGGAAATGGGTCGTGGTATATGCATCAAACCGGTTGTCGATAATTGTATGTCATTATAACGGGGTGTAATTTGGGAATATTTCAGTACCAGGATCGTGCTAGCTGATATGGAATGCAAATGGGATGTGGCACTTGTTAATTGCTTGGTTGGAGCAACAGTGATTAACTTCACCAGTCCCCCCCCCCCGTCAAGGCGTAAACGCTCCCCATGATTGAAAATCCTTTTTTATGTATCTTTCCCTGATGGGCGTAGAAACAGATCAAACCCGATGAGTCATGGCTCATCCAATATTTGGTGACATTTGCCTTGATATACTTACTTTAAAGGGAATCTAAAGGTTATGCCTAGTGACTGGGGCGTACGAGCCCTAATGCATTGCATAGCACTTGTTGATCGTTGGCTGGCTTTAAAACAAAACGTCACAGTCGGTGGACATGTGTTAGCATCTGAGGGTATGTGGCCAGCTGTCGATATGGTTTTCTTGTTTTCTCTGACATATCAGTCATCATTTAAAGTTGTTAATATCATAAGTTTAAGCTGGAGTTTGCTCAAGGTATGCAGATGGCATTAATTAATTAATTAACCTAACGCTAAAACAGCTGTCGCTAAAAACAGCTAAAACACTTGAACGTTTTCTTAAGGTTTTCCTCTGCCACAGTTGCTTGCAGTTCGCCGTTTGTTACGTTTCCGTGATATGCATGTCCAACCGCGGATAAAACACAAAATTATATGGAGGGGCATGAGCAGGAATTCGGGACATTGGGATTGGTACATCTCAAATTTTCCACTGAATTCTGCGTGTATTGCGTGCCTGGACTAAAGCAACACGGCGTGGCACGTAATTGACTTGTTAAATATACGTGTCCACCTTGTTTTTTCTCATTGTCAGCATTTTTACCCATATATTGATATTATTATATTTTTGGTAAAGGTGGCGAATCATTTTTTGGTAAAGGTGGGGGGGGGGGGGGGGGCGCGTGCCCCACGTGCCACACGTACGTAAAAGCGCCTCTGTTTCCATAACTAGCAGCCAATCGCACCACAAAAGATCGCGGCGTTTTCCAGGTGATGGAAATGGTGCTTTCCACACCAATAGAATGACAAATGGGTTTAACAGCTAGAACAACAAAATGATATATGACTATGTTGCACGGGCGAAGCACGTTGCACATCAAGTATTCGTTGTAACCATGAGGTATTCGGTGTGCACTCCTGCACGAGTTTCTGCAGCGTGCGTGTAAGGAAAGCAAATGAGGGAATGCAATAATATTTAGCTTAACACAAAATAAAATAAAATAATATAAAATGTAGTTAGTTGGTCGCGTGGTAGTAAACAAAATGTGTTTACACGCGTACGCCCTTCACAGGGACATCATGTCTTTGGCCTAGCTTGACGTGCTGTCTCATGGTCCGTTTGTCTACCCCACTGCACACTGCCCCGCCCCAAATTACAGCTGTGCCACCTGCGCGCACATAATTCAAGATGAACCCAGCATTCTGGAACCTTTCCCCGTTACCCCAGAAATCGACCTCCCGGCATGACAGCGGCATAGCATTGCCATCGCCCTAATACAGATGAAAGAGCTGGGCGCAAATGTCAGCACTGTCGCCATTTTAAGCCTAATTCCTGCGCCGCCGCCCGCCATTACGGACGGTTCGGCTGGCGGCTATGTTTGGCCGGCGGGTGCCTCCCCGGTCCTACTGTGCGCCGCGTCCATCCGCCTGTACTCGCCCCGCCGGGCGGCCATTACGCGCGCCCGCGGGACAGCAGGCGACGGCGACACGACCTGGCCATCGCCCGAGGCCCACTGAGCGGCACGTGCCGTCGGCGACGGCCGCTGCGCGCGCACGCGGCATCGATCGCCTCGGGCGGGCGGCGTCCGAACAGGTCATGAGGTCACGTGCGTAGGCCGCAGGTCACGCCCGCGGAGGGGGGTGGGGGCTAGGTGGGGACGACTGGAGGGGAGTGGATGTATGAGACTTTCCTGGTATCAGTTCATAAACCCGCACTTTTCGACATCACGCTGGTTTTTAATAACGCATATTTTCCCCCCTCCCCTGGTAAGGTCTCCTGAGGCACTGAATGAAAAACTTTTCGTCCCAATGTTATTTTTTGTCTTTTTTATGTTTCAACGAGAGTGCCTCGGTCCGGGTGGTCATGTGACCTATTTCGGTATGAATGGTGTGTGTCATTGGGACTTTTGACGATGCACTCAGCCGCTGGGGCCTTATGGCGTTGCCAACCTCCCCCGAAAAGAGGGGCGGTCAACGCGAAAATCAAAACCTGTTCCTCGGGTTTGCGAGACACGAGGCTGAATCGCTGCGCCACCACACCCCGACCTACTTCGTGATCCTGTTGTGGAAAGTAGCAAAACTTGGACGGGAGAAAGTTTACTTATCGGATACTGAACTGACCCCTGGTGGTACATGTGCGCTTGACGGCCATCTGGCACACATTTCTTGCGTCGTGAAGCAGTGAGAGCTACGTAGTCCATTTCAACGAGCCTGTCCCTATATGAAAGATCCAGAAAATAGCGTCCGTCTGATAGACTTCAGATAAATAGGCCACAGAACCTGCTAAGTGCGCTGTGTGGCTTTGTCAAGAGGAAAGGCTCGTCTTGACTTCAGCACCCGCAGACACAAGCTTACATCTCAAACTCGGCGCAGGGTAGCTTCGGCTTCCGTACTAGTCGCAAACTGTCCAATGTTAGAAGCATCGGGATTAACAATGCCTTCCGGCGGCAACGGCACAACACTAGGTACTGGTCTTTATCTGCCATGGTGGCCGCCCGACGTGGTCATCGTCGCCCTTGCAGTTACCGCCCCTCCGCTCCCCCCCCCCCCCTGCTTGGGGGAGGGGTGATGGAGGGTGGCCCTACCAGCATCGTCCATCCCCATATCGCTGTCCAGACGGAGATGGGGTGGGGGCGCGTCCGCACCACAAAGAGTGACAGCTCGCCACCCACGGCTGGCGCGGCTGTCATGCGGCTTTTGTGCCCCCGCGGCCGCTTGGCTCACCTGTCTGTCAGTCAGCCGACAGTCCGGCGGCGGCGGCGCGGGGCTCGCCCTCAGTCGCGCCGCCGAGCTCCCAGCGCGACCACTGGCGGTCTCTGAGCCCCGCCGAGCCCCGCCGAGCCCAGCCGAGCCCCTTCCTGAGCCGCGTCGGGCCCATTCCTGATAAGCTCCGTCGAGCCCTTCTGAGCCCTTTCTTGGACTCTGTCCAGCTCGTACCCAGTCCCTATCTTCTTGAGCACTTCGCCAGACCCTGCGGAGGACCTATTAAGGACTTGTCCGAGTCCTGCCTGTGAAGCCGCGGAGCGTCCGCCGGACCGCTTCGAACCAGCACTCTTCGGCCAGTCCAAACACTGGGCCACTTGTCAACCCTGACCCACTTCCAGCCCTTTCCAAATCGTGTCCGGCCTCCCTGGACCCGGCTCATCTCGCCGTCGCTCCCAGATTCCCTGCGCCCCCTTCCCTCCCCTCCCCCCTGCCCAGCCTCGCAGCTAGCGCCCTCGGGCGTCGCAGTCCCCGTCCGCTCGCCAGCCAGCCGGGTCGGCGCGGCCGCGCCCTTTCGTCACCATTGACCACTTCGCCTGCCCGGAGCCGCTGATGTCGGCCGGAGCGCTCAGCGCCTTCGCCCGTACGTACCTGCACCCGTCAGCGCCCACGTCACGGATGTGACGGTGACGCACGCCGTCGCCGGGCGGAGACAGTGTGACAGTGTGACGTGACAGCGCGGCGTGCTGCTCACGAACGCTCTCTATCCTGTTGCAGGACCGTCGTTGCAGTCTTCGGCCGGCTCTCACTGGTCGTCTAGCACCAGCAGCCCGGCACAAAGCATGCTCCTTCTTCAGCCTCAGGTAAAGGGCGAGCCAGCCGGCGACTCGTGCAATACTAAAGTTGCGCGGTAGGGAAAAACTGTATTCAACGACCTTTAATGTCTCTAAAACATGTAAGAAGGAAACTTGCAGAAACGGCGTAGAAACATCTCTCCGCAAGTATTGTCTAAGACTTTCTGAGCAGCGCCACGCGCGAATAAGCTACGGAGTGTCGCCGAGGAGCTCCGTGTGGAAACGCCACCAGTTACCTCCGTCAGTCGGGCTCCGGCTCACTCGCAGCCCGCGACCACGACGCCGGCCCGTCGCCGGACGACGGCGGCCCGTCGCCGGCTCCGCGCCGCGCCCGTGCGCTGATGTCAACGGTCTCTCCACAGGGCCACAGTCAGCAGGGCTTCTCCGATCCCTACTCGTACGAGAGCAGCTACCCGGTCGTGTCGCAGTCGGAGGAGTTCAAGCTGCCGCAGTGCGTGGCCGCCGAGCCGGCCGATACCTCGCTGGCCGACATCCTGCAGGCCGAGATGTTCGCCTCGGCCGTCGAGCTGAAGCCGCAGCCGTTCTACAACTCGCCGGCGGGCAGCCCGCAGGCGGCGGCGGCGGCCGGCGGACCGGCGCGTGCCAGCCCACCGGCCGACCCGCTCTCGCTGCCCAGCTTCGAGGAGACGTACGCGCCCCGACCGCGGCTCGACCAGTACCCGTACCGGCCAGAGAAGCCAGCCACCGAGTACGCCGGCTACGGGTACGAGTACGCGCCGCTGTACCAGCGCGGCGGCGCCTTCTCGGCGCCCGAGCCGTACGTCCAGCCGGCGCGCTACCCAGCCGAGCTGTACGCGCCGTTCGCGCCGCACCCGCCGGCCGTGCCACCGCCGTACCCGGGCCCCGTGGCGCCGTACCCGGGCGCCGGCGACAGCGGCCACGCGGCGGCGGCGGCGGCGGCTGTGGCGGCGAACCAGGGCGGCAAGCCGCGCCGCTCCAGTCTGCCTCTGACTCTGAACAGGCAGGACGGGTGAGTGCACGACGGGGAGGCGGGGGAGCGAGGGGAGTGGTGCCACTCGGCCCAGCCGAGCTCAGGTGCCGTGGTGAGGAGGACTCGCATCGCCATCCACAAACAGCAGTCACCAATCGAAAGACGCTGCAATGCGGCGTCTGTAGGGAGCGAGGGGGTGACTTGATCCGCAGTCACGAATCCTCGCCATACTGCCAGGATTGCGGTGCATCTTCCCCCTCTTGCGGAATGAGCTTAAATCGGATATTCATCAGATGAGATAGGCTACGCGTTTGTTCGTTGGCCTAGACCGGTACCGGATTCCTGAAGTCAGATGGAAAAGCCGGGCCTGTTGTATTTCCCAACGCTTTCCATCGCCAAATATTTAGCGTTGAAACTAGCGGCAAGCCCACTTCTCATCGTGGAGCTGCGCGAGCCCACGTGTGTTTGTTTGCGAGAACAATCAAGCTGTCGTGCTTTTTTACGGTGAGGCACATATGTTTCAATAAACCCCACCATTCAAGATGTGGGCACTTGCGACAAAAAGCAATCCTCGCAGCTGAGTTAATGCCTTTTGAACCCCACACATGCCGGGTTGTACGGTTCGCTTAAGTTAGCACCTCTGTATCTCCACTACAGCTGACCCATCATCTGCCCCGCCTGACCCCGCTTGGTCTCTGGTCTCCTACTCCACCCGGCCCGTTTTACAATGCTACTTACCCCGATTCTGACCTCGCCTCCGTCTCGTTTGGCCCCGCGCCTGACCCCACCTGACCCGCATCTGACCTCGCGCTCGACCCCGCGTCTGACCCGCCTCTCCGCCGCCGCAGGCTGGACATGATGCGGATGCGGATCGGCGGCTCGTCCCCGGCCACACCCAGCGCCACCTCGTCGCCGACCTCGGCGCGCGGCTCGCCTACTGAGCACAAGCCCAAGTCGCCCTCGCTGCTGTGTGCCGTCTGTGGCGACACGGCCGCCTGCCAGCACTACGGCGTGCGCACCTGCGAGGGCTGTAAGGGCTTCTTCAAGCGTACCGTGCAGAAGGGAGCCAAGTACGTGTGCAGCACGGGCAGCCAGAACTGCACGGTCGACAAGCGACGACGCAACCGCTGCCAGTTTTGCCGATTCCAGAAGTGTCTGGTGAACGGCATGGTGCGCGAGGTCGTGCGCACCGACTCGCTGAAGGGTCGCCGCGGCCGACTGCCGAGCAAGCCCAAGTCGCCGCAGGAGCCGCCGCCGTCGCCGCCCGTCTCGCTCATCACGGCGCTGGTGCGCGCGCACGTGGACACGTCGCCGGACGTGGCGAGCCACGACTTCTCGCAGCTGCGCGTGCCGGACGGCTCGCAGTCGCCCACCTCCGAGGCGGACAGCATCCAGCGCTTCTACAGCCTCGTCACGTCGTCCATCGACGTGATCCGCGGCTTCGCCGAGCGCATCCCGGGCTTCGGCGAGCTCTGCCCCGAGGACAAGGAGCTGCTGTTCCAGTCGGCCTCGCTCGAGCTGTTCGTCTTGCGGCTGGCCTACAGGTGAGTGGTGGATGGCGACGGTCGCGGTGCGTGCCTGGTTCAAGCCCCTGCGACCGGTAATGGTCAGGAGGTCTCCCTGAAGTCGTCTGGTTGATTTAGCCACAGGAGTGCGTGGCGATCGTCCGCCCCCTTAACACGCGGTAAAACGGCGTATATGTATGGGGATGTCTGTCTCACCTGCCAGGTCTGCCTGCTGTTCACCACCGCCGAGCAGCGGCGCACAGCCTCCCCTAGCAGACCACCTCCGGCGCTCCCGTCGACCGTGACCCTAACCACCCGAACTTTGTGGTCCACAGGTACAACGTGCAGGACGACAAGTTCGTGTTCGAGACAGGCCTAGTCCTTCACCGGCTGCAGTGCGAGCGAACCTTCCGGAACTGGCTGCAGCCCATCGTCGACTTCTCGGCCAGTCTGCGCGCCATGGAGCTGGACGTGTCGTCGTTCGCCTGCCTGGCCGCCCTCACCCTTATCACAGGTGCGTCACGGCGCGGTGCGGGGCGCAGTGCAACGACCGGGCAGGGAGTCGGCCGAGCCGCCTCCCCGTGGGGCCTCCCGTGGGGCGGGCGGCATTACCGGGCGAGACTGTGTGATTGTGAGACATTGGTCAGTAATTATTTAGCCGCCTATGCTATAACAGCGGATGGAGGGTTTGATCGCGGCGTAATATCACCGCAGGACTGGCAGATGACATCAGGCGACGGATGTGGCCGTCCGGGGTGTTTGAATCCCCAGTGTTTGCCCTGCCCCTGCCGAGCTCATCAGCTCAGTCGCATACAGCGCTCCACGCTCTGTCCAGGCCGGCCCTGACACGGCACTCTCTCCCTCCACCCCTACTCTATCCACTGACGAAACGTGCTCTTCGCAGACCGTCACGGCGTGAAAGAGCCGATGAAGATCGAGTCGATCCAGGGTCGCATCATCAACAGCCTGCGCGACCACGCCACGTACGGTCGGGGGGTGCGCCGCTCGCCCACCTACATGCCGCAGGTGCTCGGCAAGCTCCCCGAGCTGCGCTCGCTCAGCCTGCAGGGGCTGCAGATCCTCTTCTACTTGAAGCTGCAGGACCTGGTGCCGGCGCCTCCGCTCATCGAGAGCCTCTTCGCGCAGAGTCTGCCGTTCTGAGCCGGCGCCGGGCGCCGCTCACATAATCAAAAGTCGTCGTCGGCGGGCGGCCGGCCGGGCCGCCGCCGCCGCCGCCGCCGCCGCCGCCGCCCCTGTGTATAGCTCCGACGCTGGCGCTTGGAGGCGGGTCTGGCCAGGTCGGGTCGGGTCAGGTCGGATCGGGGCACGGGCCGGCGGGCTGAAGGGCCGCGTTTTCGCACCGGATTTTGTACGGCGACTGTCAGGAGGGAGGGCGATCCAGCTGTGAGCGGCGCGCGCCGCGGCGGCCGGCGCCGAGGGGCGGAACCAGCCTTGACTTGCGTACCTGTTTGCTGTGAGGTCGCCGCAAAACGCGACAGCCGGCCGGCGCGCCCGACGCCTTTCCCTATACATGTACATATAGGTGTCATGCTTTTTGTGTTACCGTTACCGGCTCAACATGGTTTAAAATCTCGATTGGTGTCCATTTCTGCGTGTGGTCTGTTTCCGTTGATCCGCAATAAGTTCAGTTCGGCGCGAGTTCCACCGTTGCGCTGTAAGCCGCTGCGCGGGCGCTAAGACAAGTTGTATGTTCCTCATTTGCCTGCCGTCGGCCGAGAGCGCGAGCGGCGTGTGTGCGCGCCCGGTGTGTCCCCCGTTCTCGGTGTCGCGGCTGGCCCCGTCGGCCCGCCGCATCACATATCTAGGTGTTGCTCGCGTGCGCGCGCGGCCAGGCCGCCGTCGCTGCGCCCTAGCGAGTTTCTCTCTGCTGCCCGCTTCCAGCGTTGCCAGTCCTTCCGGGCGCCGTGGTGGCGGAAGCGCTGCCGACGTCCCGCTGTCGCCTGGGCCATACAGCGCTGCACCCCTCATACGTTGTTGACCCCACTACATATATATATTGTTAACAATAAATCTCAACACGTTGTAAGGCCTGTGTTTACGAGGCATTGAACTCGAGGAGGTGGGAGCCGAGGCGCAGTGGGCTGATGCCGACGCCTTGACACCTGCCCGCCAGTGCCCTGCGTGTCCCGTCGACCCCTATCGTCTCACCTTTAGTATATATATATATATATATATATATATATATATATATATATATATTTGGTGGTAAGCGTAGGAAGGCAAAGTTGGCTTACGGCTATGATACTAATTTGAGCACGGCGTTGACAATGTATTGCGCCCGGACTTGATTTAAGAAAACCATGATGACTCCTGCAAGGCCGCTCTTTCTCTGCTGCAGATGATTCGAGGTTGGAGCTGGCCTCGGTTCTTTTGCCTTTGAATTTTGAACACGACTTAAGCATCCGGAAAAACAATAGGTAAAAGTAATCGTACTGATGCTCTGAGCGCAACCACATGGATTCTGAAAGTACTAAAATCACCAGCAAACAGATCGGCTACCACGTTGTCGCTACTTCAAACAACTTTTCACCAACCTCGGTGCCCTACAGAATAATCTAGATCTTACGGTGCTCACCCGCGCTCGGCGAACCCCGAACGGCCCTGTGTTCGGGTAGACCGAACCATCAGACGCAGGAAAAACAGCGCAGTACATGTGGGGGCTGACTAATCACTTTTACGCCATTTCCAAAACGCCCCGTTCATCGTGGGCAAGAGGCATTCATCAGCCATGGGCGGGCTTAAGACCCCCCCCCCCCCCCCGGGCCTAGCGGGAGCCCCGACCGGGCGCCCGCACAAGTCATGAAGAGGGGCCTCTGTGCGGCGAAGTTTCCGTAAAGAAGAACTCCCAGTTGCAATTAGTTCCGTTCCACCACTCTCCACTGTCTCTCATTCCATAGCCTTGGAATAAGCGTTACTGCCCGAAAGAGCACTAACCAAGCCAAAACAAAAGCTTCACAACGTCAAGCTTTCCAAACGCAATCAATGCTCACTTTTCAGCCCGTACCTCCCGGTATGCTGAAGGTCGACTACTTTCAGCGGAAGACCTCGCAGCTCTTTATGTCATCAACCAGGATTTCCAGAACTTTTGTGATTATAAACATCCAGATTCATACTCAGACCGAATGTCCCTTGAAGACTGCGAAGTTCTACGAAAACGCTATCGTGATCAAGCTACACTATGCTCGGAACACGAGCGAGGAAACTAAAGGTCTTTTGAAGATTGCAGCACTCTGTGGCAGAGCTGCTCCTACCAAGCTATGCTATGCTCGGAACAGAGGCCGTAGTTTTGTGGAGCGTGTTTGCGTCTGACATCAAATTCATGGGTGAGGTAGAGGTTGTCGCATGCTCGACGGAAGCGGGAAGATCATGTCCACCGACTGACCACCCTCCAGGACGGCCAGCGTCGAAGCGTCAGTCTGCTCGCCATTACGACCGGCACGACCGGTCTTCCCAGCCATCTCACCGCTTCCCATGTCCTCTACCCCGCACAGTGTTCATCCTCGACCCACTGCGCTGCGGAAACCGCTCTCCGCCACCGCGGCCGTTAGTGAAGGCCATGACAGCATCCGTGCACACAAAACTGCACGAGCTACCGGGGCTCCCAGCGAAGTAGCTTGCAAGTTCGCTTTCAGGTTCCTGAGTTCCCTGAACTGAACTTATTACAATGCTGAACACACGACGCGTCGACTCAGCATGCAGCCTGAAATAAAAAGACAGACGTGTGTGCGATGAAAGCCTTAGCAGGTGTATCGCACCGACAGGCTGGATTACCGCGGGGGCTACGGTGTTTCATACCAGTGGGATGTGCCACACCCACATACTTTACTGCTAGGTGGGATGCCAACATTGTTGAAATCCAATATTGAGTATATTGGGTTGCATATGCGTAACGAATCTCAAAATGACACTTGCATCCCCGCATTTTTAAAGGCTTGCCTCCGCCCCCATCTCACGCAAAACATTGCCGAGGCCGCGCCAGCGCAGTCTGCGTCGTGCGAGGAGCAGACGATGTTTGAGACTGTGCTGTCTTGTGGGACTGGTCTGGGATCATCCCAGCAAGCCTCCCACGGGCACAAGTGCTTGTGCGGCGAACCACTGCAGTCTCTTCTGAATCACAGACAAGTACCCCAGCTCCCTCGACCCTAACACCATCCCTGTCCGGCCGCCAGCCACGCGTGACCCCCGAACCCCGGCGTGATCCGTCCTCTAGCTCTCTGGCTATGGATCCAGCACGCAGCTTGGTCGGCCTGCCAGACCGAGGGTCAGGGAAGCCCAACCGCACTCCCGCAGGTCGCCGTCCCGAGACCGGCGTCAGTACTGCCGGTCGCTCCCTTCGGCGCGAGCTGAGAGGGACAGTGGGATGTGCGCGGTCACCTTCTCCTCGCCAGGACTGTCGACCCCTCCGTATGGCGCGAGCTGAGAGGAGCAGTGGGATGTGCGCGGTCACCTTCTCCTCGCCAGGACTGTCGACTCTTTCCTACGGCGCGAGCTGAGAGGGGCAGTGGGATGTGCGCGGTCACCTTCTCCTCGTCAGGACTGTCGACTCTTTCCTTCGGCGCGAGCTGAGAGGGGCAGTGGGATGTGCGCGGTCACCTTCTCCTCGCCAGGACTGTCGACCCCTCCGTATGGCGCGAGCTGAGAGGAGCAGTGGGATGTGCGCGGTCACCTTCTCCTCGCCAGGACTGTCGACTCTTTCCTACGGCGCGAGCTGAGAGGGACAGTGGGATGTGCGCGGTCACCTTCTCCTCGTCAGGACTGTCGACTCTTTCCTACGGCGCGAGCTGAGAGGGACAGTGGGATGTGCGCGGTCACCTTCTCCTCGTCAGGACTGTCGACCCCTCCGTATGGCGCGAGCTGAGAGGAGCAGTGGGATGTGCGCGGTCACCTTCTCCTCGTCAGGACTGTCGACTCTTTCCTACGGCGCGAGCTGAGAGGGGCAGTGGGATGTGCGCGGTCACCTTCTCCTCGTCAGGACTGTCGACCCCTCCGTATGGCGCGAGCTGAGAGGGACAGTGGGCTGAGCGCGGTCATCTTCTCACGGCCGATTCTTTACAACCGGTGGGGATGGCCTATGTGGTGATACCAAAATGTTTCCCAGGCTCCAAACGAACTGTAGAGGTTTACGTCATTGCAATTTCCTACTGTCATTGCTGTCCAGGAAGCGTGGTTCCCAACTGCGAATATTTCATTGCGTAATACAACGAATAACGAACAGTAGAACTTTTGTCTTTTCTTTTACTATATTGTTTCCATTATGCTGCTTTGACGAGATGTACAGACGGTCAAAACGGTCAGATACTGTTCCAAGTCTCCGCTCGCAAAAAAGCACTATGAGCATCGTGCATTTCGAAAAAATTCACGCGTCGCTGCCGGAATAGAAGGCAAAAAGGCGAAACGGTAGCCTGAAAGTTAGCATCCAATCTTTCCGAAAAGACACCATCTATAGGTAGTGTCGTCCGTGGCTAAACGCAACGTTTCGACGTGATCAGCAGTCTGGGACGATTTCAACAAATTCCAGTCGTATTTTTCAACCGACTAACTCCACGTGAATCGGTAAAATATTTCCGCCCGCGGTCAAAACTGACCTCACAGATCAAAACGCGCAGGTGGAGGGCCTTGCCGCACGTACGATCTAAGGCAAAGAGATATTCCAGCATTTTGTAAATTCAATAAACGGTTAAATATGTTCCGTTGCATCGCAGGCACTCCACATTGGGGAGAGGTAATGCACTTGCAGCTCAGTAAAGCGCGGGTCCCGCCGATTAAAGAATATGTTTCAGTTATGTGCGCCGGCGCCAGTAGTCCCATTCGTCAGGAAACTGGAAACAAATTACTTTCAGCACTTCAAATCGAAGTCGTCATTCGCCGTCGTGCGTAAGTTATGTGAAATACGGCTTATCTTGCTCTTCATTTTAGGCACACAACTTCATCCAGAGCACCCAACGTTTAGAGCTGTGAACGGAACACCCCTCATCCATTTTAAGTATGCAATCCTGCATGAAAGTACTTGTCGTTAACAACCACATCACGGCTCACAAAACACGGTGGGGAAATAAATTTTGCTTAGTATGAAATTGTTCAATCACTGAAAGGTTTTCCGAACCGTGGCAATTGGTAGAATGGGATAAATTTACACCGATTAAACATCCAAGAGAATCAGTTATATTAGATGAAACGCAGCAGAAATTTAGATGTTCACGAGCAAGCCATTCCAATAACCTTTTTTATACGAATGCCTGTGAATCAAATAGTAAATGCAGCGGCTTGGGGATGACATGTCTGTGAAGCTAGTTTGGGAAAACCATGGGATAACTTTACTCGCTGGACTTTACGACAAATGTCTTGGTCTTTTAACTTCATGACATTTCGTAGACAGCTTATGTGTTCTGACACAAAATCCACAATTCAGTTATTTCATGGAAACACCATATGACTTTGGAGCTAACAAGCTTGACCTTTTGTAGGTTTGGCAACCCGGTCCGCTGCAGCCTGACCCCGCCAGTCACACTTTAAGCAGACTAATATAATGGCAGTCCCTGATTGCAGCGCCATAAAGTTTTCAGCAACAGCTCTTGTATGACAGATGCGCAGTTGTGTACAGGTGCTCGCCATAGCTGTGCTGCAGCAGAGACATCAGGTACCTAAATGCAGGTTTTTGATATGCACCACATTTTTCCAACGCTACGCAAGGTTGCCCCAAATTTACCTCTTCACTCCCCAAACATGGATAACACATTAATGAACCACAGCTCCGCAGGCGTGCAAAAGGCGAGCGAAAAATAGATCCAGATCTCGGCGACCAACCGCTGTAGCGACGTGAGACTTATTGATAAGGACGAAGAGGAAGACTGCCAATTGTAGTTGGATAAATGTATGTCGGTATAGGTTATCACACGCCATCGTGTGCAAACCACGTATCCACCCATTTTGAGGTGTGTATGAGAATTTATGTCAGATCTCAAGAATCCGATCCTTTATCGAAATGAAGGCAACTGTACGGCGCAGGCGAATGTATGGGCTAGAGCTGACAAACGTCTAGAAAGGCCGCCCCTTAGGTGCACGCTCAAGCGACAGGAACGTGGCCAATGCCAGGCTTTTCAAAAGCCTGGAAGCCGTTTTCCAGGATCTCGAAAACGGGACGTTGTGTTTTAAAGCAACAGAGGATGTAAAACGAAAAG